GGACAAGTTGCCGGTGATGGCGGTGGTTGACAGCAGGTTGTGCACCCGCACAGCGTGGTGCATCGCGTAGGTCCAGTAGATCGGCGGCAGGAAGTTTGGATTGCTTCATCAGCGCCCGCACCTTCGCCATGAGTGTGCGATTCGTGCGCTCAGCTACGCCTTGCTGTTGGTGCACATACGGAAGGGAGATGTGATGCTCGATTCCCTTCTGCGCCAAGTAATCTTGCAGCTCCTTGCTTCTGAATTCCTCTGCGCCGTCCGATTGCCAAATTTTAAGCTTCTCCCCGGATTGCCGATGCGCGTGCGCCAACCAGAGGCGAAGACTTCGTATGCTCTGCTGCATGCTTCCACGTTTACGACCCAGACGTATCGTGTCCCACCGTCAACGAAGGTAAGCGTGTACAGCTCGTCGTTGACTCTGCAATGCCCCACGTTCAAAAAATCACTGTACACCTTGTGCATCTTGGGGTAGCGCTTGGTTCCGGGTTCAAGCAGCGGGAATGGCTGGTGGCTCAGCGCAGCCTCGGGGCAGACGGTGCAGCTGCGCAGGTGTGTCGTGTTTCTCACTTCGGTGCCGTCAAGGCGTAAGAGGGCGCCGGGCGCAAACACGCCTGCATCGATGCAATTTTTTTGCGTTGCGCGCGAGGGATGACTGAGGCGCTGGTGCCAAAGGTCGTCGCTTGTGCGGAATCCAGAGGTGCGCATGTAGCGCGCCCGCACTATTCGGGGTCTCCGTCTTCTGGTGCTGAGGCAGGTTCTGCTACGGCTTCCTCAACTTTGTCTTCGTTGCTCATGGCCGTCAGCATTAGCGCCGAAAATTCTCTGTTAAGGATGACGGAGAGTGGAATGTTGGTGCCGAGAATCGTGTCGGCGACGAAAGTAGGCTCGCGCGGCTCGGGAGCAGGTCCGTAGGCTGTGCGGCGCGGGGTCATCGGTTCGTTGCCCCAGGCGATGGTGTCCCAGGGGTCGCGGTGCGGCTGGACGTCAGGTGGTGGCAGCGGAGGTGCGGGAATGCGAGGGGGACGGCCGGGGGGAACAATGTGCGGTTCGGCTTCTGCAGTCTCTTCTTCCCCCCTTTGTTCTCCTCGTCAGACGCTCCCCCCTTTACCAGAAGTGCCCCATACACTGGTGTCGCCGGCAGTTGCACTGCCCCACCCCCCTTCATTGGAGGAGCTTTCTTCCTCCGCTTCCCAGGCACCGCAGGCAAATGTCCCGCGAGCTTTGGCGAGGCTCTTTTGGCGAAGTTCTTTGGCCTCGCAGCGCGCCAGCTCTTCTTCTTGTTCCATGGTAAGTTCCGTTGTGGGGTCGCGCCACTGGGGGTACAGCTTCAGGAACTCCTCTTTAGTGTAGGGACGCGCCACACTGCGCGCGTCGAGGGTTCCGCGACGTTGGCCTCGTAGGATGGTTTCGAGCCGCTGGGAGGGGGGGGCAGCGAGGAGGTTCTAGTTGGTGCCGAAGACGTGGTGAGAGGCGACTTCCAGCTCTAGTGCTGGCATCCCTTCTTCAGGCGGCGAGGCTCGTTCAGTTTCGGCAATGGCGGCGATGGCGCTTGCTGAGGCAGTGGGCGCGTGGCAATCCCGACAGATGCCGTCGGGGTCAGGGTCGTGTAGCGCCAGCTCGCGTGGGTGAGGGTGATGTGGCACCCATGGTCGTCCGTTCCATTCCGAGCGTTGAATGAGCTCAAAGCGTAGTGGAACGAGATCGATTAGCTTGTTCGAATCACCGCTGCAGTCGGGAATGTCGAAGTCGATGATGTACAGTCCGTTCTCGAAGTGCGCTCGTCCGATCTGCCTGCGTGGTTTTGTCGGCGATGAGTAGTGCAGCAGGATGTCGAGTGTGCGAGGATCCGTGCTGAGTTTGACACTGCAATCCATGAGTTGAGCGGCGGATAGCAGGTTGAAGCGCAAGTATTGGACGATCAGCACATCGTTCAGCGTGATGTGCGTGCAGCTCCCACGTGCTTTGAGCACAACGATTCCTTGCGCGCTTGCGCGCAGATGAGTGTTGTTTACCGCGGTGACATAGGTGACCGCGGGGGGGGGGACGGCGTTGGAGACAAAACGCTCGGAGCCCACCATGTGCTGGCCGCAGCAGCTGTCCAGGTACCAGGTGTTGTAGCGCTTGTTGTCGTCACGTGCGAGCAGCGCCAATCGCGGCGTGACGATGTGCGGAGTGTCAAATTTCAGGAATTGTTCGCGCGAGATCCAATCGATCGGTGCCACCCGCGAATCTGGTAGGTGCGTGGGCTTTCAAGCAGCGGGACTGGCAGGTTCGTCGTCGTCGCTGAAATCGCAGCACGTGCTGAACGGATGATTATCCGTGAACGCCCCGATTGGAAGATGGGCTGGCTTCGGAGACGGGTGTGCGCTCGCGGAGATGAAGAGATTCGCTTGTCATAGTCATGTTCCCCATGACGTTGCGGACTGGGCTGGGTTGTGACGGCTGCTGCTGGTGGTGCTGAACCTTAGGGTTTTGGTTGCGTGATGGGGGTTGGTACCCCTGGGCTGGACGCTGGTTATTTCGTGCGTCTTGTCGGCCGGACCAGGTGCTCGGATTGGTCTGGCGAGGGCGAGATCGGAATTTGCATCGATCTGCCTAGTGGCCAAAATTTCTGCAGATTTTGCAGTAAAGGCGCTGCGGCCATCGCTCTTCTGTGTTGTTGGCATAGAAGGCGAGGCATTCCCTTTCTCGTCGCAGCGCTGGTCGCTGCTGGTCCATGTCTTTCCGAGATGACCCCCTGCTGTCGGAGAAGCGCCTTACAGGGCCGCCACTCTGGGCCGAGCCCTTGGAGCACAATGTTCACGAAGATCTTCTCTAAGATCGTGCTCCCCGATTTCGCGAGTTGATCGCGTAAGCTCCGATAGCGGTTGATATATCTGTTGGCCTTCTTCCTCGGGGCCATTTCTGTCTCCAGTAGCTATTGGAGCAAGCGGCTCGAAGAAACGGAGTCCTTCGGTTGGTACACGCCGTTTAGGTGCCGCCAGGCGTCAAGGGCTGGAGCAGACGATGTCTTGTACGATCGAATGCTCAGCTGCTCCGCCGACGACATGTTTCTGAATAGAACGTCGTACGCCATCAGTGATTCGTTGTAATACTGTGCTCTCGCGTTGACGATATATTCAGCAGGCCTGGCGTAGCTCTTGTGGAAATAGTGGAAGATCTGCGCGTTTTGCAGCAGCAGCTCCAGCTCGAAGCTCCACGTATAGAAGTCTCTGCCGTCAAAGCACACACTTGTCTTTATTTTTGATATGTTGAAAAACCTTGATTGCGCAGAGAGAATTGCTTCTTCGCTGGGACGGGGGTTCTTAGGAGTTGAGCTATTAGTGTCGGAGGAGAAGGTGTGCGGGGCGGTATTATGGCCGTTCGAGGCCGGTTGAGAGGGTTGGGAAGATGTTCCCGCATCGCCATTCCGCAATGTTTGGAGTCCTTGCTCCAAGTTCGTGAGTCACTGGAGCAGTTGTTCTAGGACCGCGGTGCCAATGGTTGTCGCCGCCTCGTTTGTCGCAACCGAGTTGGGTTGCGCTTCAGCCGTCAGATTCGTCTGACCTCCAGATCCTCCGGCCATTCTTACGCGTGAGCGTGTGCCGGACGCCACTTTAGTTCGCCGATGATTTCGGTGGTGGCGTTGCGAAGGATTGCCGAGTTGCTCTTATACCATGCTGCGATCATAAGTTGATCATGACCTAGGATCGTCTCAGGAAGGTTCGCACGTACCGCAGTTGATTTGTGGTGGTGGGCCCTTGACCTCAAAACAGAGTGAATGTAAAATGTTTGAGATGATGAGAACATGCAAACACGGGTATATAAATAGTAGTACAGGGGAATATGCAACGACCTAATTAGCCATGTACTTTAAGGGGTACATTCCCTTATTCAAATTCGAAACCAATCGTGCGACTCAAACAGTTACGAAACTGTTCCCGCCTTTTCCTCGCTTCTGCAGCTGCCCGATGCCGTCTGCTCCGACGGTCCAGATCCATTCCAACTGTCTGCGGCGCTTCGAGTCAATTCTGACCCTTCACATTTGGCCTCGATACTGCGTGCTTCACTTGCTGCGGTTAGGAGTGCACAGTCTCATTTCACTATTCGTAACACCCGCCACTGTACCTGTCGCGACCCAACCTTACGGCTCGGCTGGTAACCCGCGCTCCGGGCCTCCACCTCGACAGTCCCCGACCTCAGTCCCAACCTCAGTCACAGGCCCGTCACGCACCTCCCACACTTCGTGACCGTTACCACTGTAGTTTCGCTATATAACCCTCGCTCATGCCTTCGCTCAATGTACTGTTTTGATGCGTCGATAGTGCAATTCTCGCTCGCTCGCTCAATTGCACTCGTAACAATAACGAAGCAGCGCACAGCGCATGGTACCAGTCTCGTATAAGAGCACGCAATGAAGGTCAACATGTGTGGAGAATCAACGGTCGCGGCTGTTTACTGTCACACACTCTAAGGTGCTTTCAACTGTTACTCGAGAATGAGATTAAGCATTTGTACAATTCTGAACTTTTGTTGACGAGGCGACCCATTACAGATTCTGGATCTCAGAATAGCATCAGAAATTGCTATATGCATGAGATTAGTAAGCAACCCACGCGTGGTTGGCAATAATCTGGCTTGCAGGCAGCGAGTAGTTGCAGCAAGCGACAGACACGGCTGACCTTCACTAAGAGCACATGAGCAACAGTGCTATCAGCAAGGGAGAGGCAGCAGCCTGTTCAGACAGAAGCAAGGCCATCAGCAGCTCCTAGGGGTACTCAGCCGAATATGATTGGTGCATCGACGGTGAGAGGAGAGGGGGTTTGGGCAGTCAACAGAAGTGTTTGGGGAGTGTTAGGGCAGCATATGGCTGCCATGTTAGTGGATGAAAGGTGGATCGTCACCCCAAGTTAGATGGGTTGGTTAAACGGATGGAAGGAGCGGAAAGTGGGAGAAATAAGGGAAACGAGGGAAAAGAGGGCGAGCGACGCGGAAGGATGCTTTCGTTTGTTCTGCTGCTGCTACTGCTGCTGCTGCCGCTGATGCTGCTGCCGAACCCTTTCTGCTTCATCCATGCTTGTGTCCCCCTCCTCGTCATCATCCTCATCATCATCGTAATCATCGTCATCATCATCCTCGTCCTCGTCACCATTCCCGTCGTCCTCGTCGTCAAAATCCTCGTCATCATCGTCGTCGTCCAGGTCATCGTCATCATTATCCGAGAAATCGTCACCGTCGGATCGGTGCGACGGGCTTCTCTCGTCGTCAGGCGGGTTGAGCATGCGGTTGATCTGCTGGCCGAGAGCCACCCAGCTGCCAAGGAAATACGAGGGGAGGAGGGAAGGAGCAGCGGATGAGGGGAAGGGAGGGAAGGAGCAGGGGATGAGGGGAAGGGAGGGAAGGATGGAGACACCCAGACGATTAAGCAAGCGGTTGATCTACTGGCCGAGAGCCACCCAGCTGCCAAGGGAATGAGAGTAGAGGTGAATGGAAAGGGGAGGAGAATGGCATGAGTGTGATGCTCTAACAAAAAACCAGGAGGGAGTGCTAATATCTGCCAAGCATTCGATCAATTTGATAGAGCAGGACTCACTGTCCCAGCAGCAGCTGTTGGCCAATGAAAGTCAGGCCGACAGCCAGAGCCATGACGAGCCCGCGAGTGCCGGCAAAGTTTGAAGACATGTCCCAATCAATGGCCATGGCGTTGGCGAGTGAAACACGGAGGTAAGAAGAGAGACAAGAGTGGCAGCAGTAGCAACTGAGAGAGCAGCACTCACTGGTTAAACAGTTGGCCGATGAAAGCCAGGCCGACAGCCAGAGCCATGACGAGCCCGAGGGTGCCGGCGAAGTTAGAAGACATGTCCCAATCGATGGCCATGGCCAGCGCACATGCAAACAACACCACTTCCGCTCCTGAGCTCACAGCTTCTACCACTTGTAGGCCTCTTTCCGTGAAGGGCTGTTGGGGGACAACACAGGGAGGGTGGGGAGGCAGGGATTTGAGTCCAAAAGGTTTTGCAAAAGTTAAGAGCACAGCACCACCTCTGCTCCTGAGCTCACTGCCACCACCTGCAGGCCTCCGCTCCATGAAATGAACCTGAAGGAGAACTGGACTTAATACAAGCATGAAAAGGACCTGAAGGAAGGCTGTGCTTTCATTAAGTGTGACACGGTCTTGAAGAAGACGGTGCTTGTAACGAGCGCGAGACGTGCTTATAACGAGCGTAAGACGCACCTGAAGGAAGAGCAGGAAGAGCAGGTGGAGCAGGGCAAGGGCGAGCAGGCATGCTTGCTGTGCCACGGCATTGCCTGTTGGACTCCATGCCCCCACCAGCGCCCCCACCAGCACCTGCACACACAGACACAGACAGAGACACACACACACAGATGTAGAGAGGCCGAGATGAAAAGAGAAAACGCGGGCAAGGGTGTGATTGTACACCCTCCACAAACAGCGCTTACCTACCACGTTCAAGAAAGTAGGGTGTGAGGGTACATAGCCAAGTCAAGAGTCACATGGAATGGCCTCACTAAAGCCGTGCCTACCATTTCAAGAAAGTACAGAATGCCATAAGCAGCAACCCTTACCATTTTTACAAAGTCCAGGGTGCCATAAGCAGCCCTCAGTCGATCCTTGAGCACCCCCCAGGTGCCCACAGAGCCCCACACTGCCACGCGGCAAGGGGGAAACAAGAGAGAGGGAGGGGGGAGATGACAATAACATGAAATAAGGACAAACTGAGGCAGTGATTTCGAGAGTGGGGTTGGCCATATATGTAAGAGTGTGCCTTGAACAAGATAAGGCACTTCAGACTTCCATGTTACAAGCGTGTTTGATACGTACAAGCGTGTTTGATACGTACAAGCGTGTTTGATACGTACAAGCGTGTTTGATTCGTACAAGCGTGTTTGATACGTACAAGCGTGTTTGATTCGTACAAGCGTGTTTGATTCGTACAAGCGTGTTTGATTCGTACAAGCGTGTTTGATTCGTACAAGCGTGTTTGATTCGTACAAGCGTGTTTGATTCGTACAAGCGTGTTTGATTCGTACAAGCGTGTTTGATTCGTACAAGCGTGTTTGATTCGTACAAGCGTGTTTGATTCGTACAAGCGTGTTTGATTCGTACAAGCGTGTTTGATTCGTACAAGCGTGTTTGATATGCACAAGCGTGCTTGATACGTACAAGCGTGTTTGATACGCACAAGCGTGTTTGATTCGTACAAGCGTGTTCAGTGCTCTGCAGCCTCAACTCCCCCACAACCCCTCACCTGTGAAGTCCTCAAAGAATATCCCGAATCTTGGCAGGATGTGCTTTTGTGACGGCGTGATGGTGACCCAGTGGCCCTTGAGTCGCTTCTGTCGCAGCGCGGCCCAGAAGGCGCGTGCGAAGGAGGCGATACACCCGTTGTTGCGCGGCTCGGTCATCTCCCGCACGAAGAAGCGTGCGAATTGCTCCTGAAAGGGGTTGAGAGGGGAGCGGGAGGGACGAGAGAGGGGAGGTGAAAATGTAATCCCTTGATCTCCTTCACAAAGAAGCACGCGAATCAAAACAGATCACCCAATTGGGGGTTGGGGTGGCATGAACAATGCTTCGGACCCGCCCCCCCACCCGGCACCCCATCAAACCCCCACCCCACCGAAACCCGCACCTCAACACATCTGGACAACAATGTACCTGACGACCGAGAAAGAAAATATCAGGAAGAGCACGGGCCGGAGGCACAGCACGATCACCCCCGCCGCCGGTCCACCCTTAAGCCCATCAGAACCATGCTAAACCCTCCTGAACGACGATGTACCAGACGACCGAGAAGGAGAAGATGAGAAAGAGCACAGGCCAGAGGCACAGCCCGATGACCCCCACAGGTTGGAAGAGAGGCAACATGCACCCCTACTGTCAAACCCACCAGAACCACGCATTCACCCAACCTAACCAAATTTAACGCACCTGAACAACGATGTACCAAACGACCGAGAAGGAGAAGATGAGAAAGAGAACGGGCCAGAGGCACAGCACAATGACCCCCGTTGCCAGCCCTGCTGCCGTGCCGCCCGGGTCCATGCTGCCTCTGATGAGCAGCGTGCAGCTCCAGGAGATGCCGGCCAGGGAGAGCGCGAGGAGGAGGAGGAGGAGGAGGAGGAGGAGGAGGAGCAGGGGCCACACCACAGACACAACCCTCCTAACACCCCCACCCACCACTTCGCTGAAACCCCAACCAGAACGCACCTGGACGACAATGTACCAGACGACCGAGAAGGAGAAGATGAGGAAGAGCACGGGCCAGAGGCACAGCACTATCACCCCCACCGCCAGCCCTGCCGCAGTTCCACCCGGCTCCATGCTGCCTCTGATGAGCAGCGTGCAGCCCCAGGAGATGCCCGCCAGGGAGAGCGCGAGGAGAAGGAACTGCAGGCGCGGCGGGTCGAGGAGGCCGTAGAGCCACTGGTAGCGCCAGTGCTGCCATGCCCACTGGAAGAGGAGTTGGAGGAGGGAGAGGGCGAAGAAGAAGAGCGCGAACCAGAATAGCACCGTGCAGAACTGCTCAAAGCTGGGGACGATGGGGTGGAGAGAGAGCAGGGAGAGGGGGGAGAGGGATGGGGAGAGAGTTAGTTTGAGGCATGAGAGGGAGAGGGCGAAAAAAGAAGATCGCAATCCAGAACAGCACCGTGCAGAACTGCTCAAAGCTGGAAGGAGAAGGGGGATTGAGGGGTGTGGGAGGGGAGCGGGGCGAGAGAGGAGAAGGAGCAGAGGGGTTGGGATGGCTAGGTACATGCGGTGGGAAGGAGAGTGTAACACAAATAGCACCATGTAGAATTCTTCAAAGCTGGGAGAGCACAGAGAGAGAGGAGGGGGGAGAGTGGGGGGAATGTGAGAGAAATGAAGGACAGACAGGATGAGGGCATGACCCATGGCATGGGGGAGTGACCCATGGCAATGGCATGGGGGCATGATCCATGGCATGGGTCGTACAGCCATGCGGAAGGGATGCTTACCCATGGTAGGAGTAAAAAAGGTTGGGGAAGTGCGAGTCATAAGCATCGCCCCATGCCTGCATGTACTCATACTCCTCCTCGCTCAGCCGCACATGAGGGCATCATTCATTAGCCATGCGGAAGGGATGCTTACCCGTGGTAAGAATAGAAGAGGTTGGGGAAGTGCGAGTAATAGGCGTCAACCTCAAGCCTGCAGGTACTCATACTCCTCCTCGCTAAGCCGTGGCAGCAGCAGAGTATGAGCACATGGCATGGGTCATACAGGCTAAGCCATGTGGAAGGGATGCTCACCCATGGTAGGAGTAGAAGAGGTTGGGGAAGTGCGAGTAATAGGCGTCACCCCACGCTTGCATGTACTCATACTCCTCCTCGCTCAGCCGTGGCAGCAGCGTCGGGTCAAACCCCCTCGCTGCTGCCACCGCTGCTGCTGCATCCCCCCCTGCCCCGCCCCCTGCCGCTGCCAGTGCTATCAGAGCAGTCGCGTTGAAGCTACTGTAATCGCTTGCGCTGCTGTTGCTGGTGCTGTTGGCGGTCGTTTCTTGTAGCATGTGGTGATAATGGGTGGTGGGGGGATGCGACGACACGGATGATGGGAGGAGGGTATGGGATGGGAAGGCAGAGTGAAGGGAGGAGGGGAAGGAGGAAGGGAGGAAGGAGGAGGGGAGCGATGCGGGGGTGAAGGGCAGGCCTCGTAGCAGGAGGGCGGGTGGGGGCGAGAAGGGGATGGGTTGGAAGGGGAGGGCTCGGGACGACCCCAAGTTGCGGCTCCTATGTGACATGGCATGCCGCATGTGCACATGTGATGTGGTTAGTTGCCGTGCTTGCATGTGCACATGTGATGTGGTTAGTTGCTGTGCTTGCATGTGCGCGTGAGCATGAGCATGGGCATGGGCATGGGCATGGGGCGGCAAGGAGTCGGCAGTATTGAAGCGGTTACGGAGAGAGCGAGAGGAGCGCACAGTGTGTGGATGGGGCACACGGTGGGATGGTGAGGGCGAGGGAGAGGAGAGAGAGGAGAGCAGGGAGTGGAAGGAAGAGGAGAGGATGTTGCGGAGGTTGCGCGGGTGGAGGGGAGAATGTGTTGCTGTGCTGTCCTCTGCTGCTGTGCTGTCCGCTGCTGTGTTGCCAGCTGCTGCTGGGGAGAAGGTTGACGAGAAAGAGAGTTTGGATTGAGTCGATGCAGAGGGGTTGGCGGAGGACGAAGAGGCGGCGCTGTCTGTCCTGGTGGCGAGGTAGTGCCTGGTTGGACGGAAGGGGAGGAAGGGGGGTGGGAGAACAATGGGACATAGGGCAGAAAAGAGGGGTTAAGAGGGGCTGAGAGAGGTCGATAGAGGCAGCGCTGTCTGCCTTGGTGGCGAGGTAGTGCCTGGTGGGATGGAAGGGAGAGAGAGGGAAGCGAAGGACAATGGGTTAGAGGTCGGAACGGAGGGGTTGAGATGGGCTGAGAGGGGTTGGAGGCAGGGGTTGAGAGGGGGGCGGGCGAGGCATGCGATGCGACTCAAATATCTGAGCTAAGGGGGGTGGGTGCTGAAGTGACAAACTGAAGTGAGGAACTGCTCTAAGCACTTGCAGAGAACACGAAAGGTGTACACGCCCTTCCAGCCGTCCCGCGAGCATGACTCATTAACATGTGACAAAATAATGGAGTGTTGTAAGGTGGTATGGGCGAAGCACTTAAGGTGCAGAGGAGGGTGGGGCGGTGCGCCTCGGTGGGAGAGGAGTACACGCCCTTCCACCCATCAAATGAGCATAGCTCGATTGCATGTGACTCAAACGAAAGCGTTCTAAATCTGACCACGACTGAAGCACTCACGGGGCACAGGAAGGTGGGGCGGTGCTGTTGTCCTGCCTGGGGGCGTCAGAGGGAGAGGAGAGGCATACAAGCCCTTCCACCCGGCAAACGAGCATGACTCAACAGCATGTCACTCAAACGAAAGTGCTGCATAATAAACCATGAACAGAGGACTCACGGGGCACAGGAGGGCGTTGCAGTGCTGTTGTCCTGCCCAGGCGCCTCAGAGGGAGAGGAGTAAACGCCCTTCCAGCCGTCGAATGAGCCCTTAAAGGGCGCAGGAATGTAGAAGTAGGTCCAGCGCAGCCCCCCTGTGAGCTGACGGTAGAAGAGTGGCAGCACCCGCACCGCCAGGTTCTGCGTGAGAGCAAAGACTTGCAGGTGCAGGGCCATGCGCTGGGTGGGGGGGGGCAGGAGGGGAGGGGGTGACAAGGAGAGAAGGAGCGAGCCTCCTGTGAGGTGGCAGTGGAAGAGAGGCAACACTCGCACTGCCAGGTTCTGAGTCAGAGGGAGGAGGTGGGGCGGGACTCCTTGATGGTGACAGCGAGGGGGGTGAGTGACCGACCAGTCACAGACACATGCCACGCCATGCCATGCCATGCCATGCCACGCCACGCCATGCCATGCCATGCCATGCCACGCCACGCCATGCCATGCCATGCCACGCCATGCCATGCAATGCCATGCCATGCCATGCCATGCCATGCCATGCCATGCCACGCCATGCCATGCCATGCCATGCCATGCCACGCCATGCCATGCCATGCCATGCCATGCCATGCCATGCCATGACTCACCAAGATGTTCCTGGAGGGATCAGCCCCCACCACACCACAGTCATGCTGACGGCACGGAACGGGCGGTTGGAGACGATGCGGATGCCGGGGGAAGAGGTCGGGTGGGACTCCTTGATGGTGACAGCGAGGGCTTTCAATCAATGAACCGTTCAGAAGCATATGCCATGCCATGCCGTGCCATGCCATGCCATGCCGCTACTCATGACTCACCAGAATGTTCCGAGACGGATCGGCCCCAACCACGGGCGTGCTAACGGCACGGAAAGGGCGGTTGGAGACGATGCGGATGCCGGGGGAGGAGGTGGGGTCTGACTCCTTGATGGTCACTGCCAGGGACACAGCGGCCGTCGATATGGCTGTCCACCCCACCACTGCCGTCACCACCCACGCTGTGATTGTGCCCGCATCTCCTGGGGCGTCTGCAAGTGGGGGGAGAGAAGGGTCGGGGGAAGAGAAAAGGAGGGGAAGGGGGAAGAGAAGGGGGGGAGGGGGAAGAGGAGGGAAGGGGGAAGGGGGGGGGGGGGGGGGGGGGGGGGGGGAACAGGGGAGGGATGGAAGAGAGGGGGGACAGGAAAAAGAGGGGGGGGGAGCAAGTGCAAAAAAAGGGGGAGCATGAGGAGGTGGGGTAGGACTTGTTGATGGTGACAATGAGGGAGAATGCTGCTGCTGAGCTCGTCATCTCACAGGCTTGGGCGTTGGGATGGGCAGAGAGCAGCAGTGTGAGGGTTGAGTTGATTTACAGTGAGTGAGAGGGTGTTGGAGGGCAAGTCGAGGTTGCCTGCAATGTCCACCACCGTTGACTTGATTAACTCAAAGTGTGCAAGGGGGAGTGTTAACCCACAGTAAAATGAGGGAATTTACTAAGGTTGGCACTTACAGTGGGTGAGGGAGAGTGTGTTGGAGGGCGAGTTGAGGTTGCCTGCAATGTCCACCACCGTTGCTGCCGGCACCGATACAGTCACATCGCCATCACTCACTGCCGCCACCGTCACCTCATAGTACCGCCCCAAACCCCTGTCCACCCCTGTCCAGCTGGAGGAAGCAAAAATCATTAGCAGGATAAAGGAAGAGGGGGATGGAGAGGGAAGAGGGGGATGGAGAGGGAAGAGGGGGATGGACAGGGAAGAGGGGGATGGAAAGGGATGAGGGGGATGGAGAGGGATGAGGGGGATGGAGAGGGATGAGGGGGATGGAGAGGGAAGAGGGGGATGGAGAGGGAAGAGGGGGATGGAGAGGGAAGAGGGGGATGGAGAGGGATGAAGGGAAAGAAATACAGTCAGGACCGCTCACTGCTGCCACCGTCACCTCGTAGTACCGCCCCAAACCCCTGTCAACTCCTGTCCAGCTGGAGCAAGCAAGGGAGATGGCAGAATTAAGGGGTCATGGGGAGAGATAGAAACGGGTGAAGGAACAATACAGTCTCATCACCACCACACCACTCACTCCCGCCACTGTCACGAAGCAGTACCGCTCTAAACCAGGTGACAAGCGCAAGTGCCATATGCGCATGTGCCATATGCGCATGTGCCGTATGCGCATGTGCCATACGCCGTCATGCCATAGGAGTGAGCATCTCATCTCACTGACCAGGTGATGACCCCTTCCCTTTGGAGAGCTGCAGTGCAGTGAGGAGCTGTTGAAGCCCAGCCCAGCACACGGGGCTGTGAGAAAGCCACAAGGAGGATAGGGTAGACCCCCCCCGCCTTGTGATACCAGCCCATCCCCACCTGCCCAGTCATGTGATACCGCACACATCCCACTCACCAGGTGATGACTCCGTTGGACAGCTGGATAGAGGAGCTGTTAAAGCCCAGCACGGGCTCTGAGAATGCGACGAGGATGGGGTAGACCCAGTCTGTTGTGGCGCTGGTCTCACTCACGCTCAGCTGCACTGAGGGGGGCGTGGTGTCTGATGAGGGGGTGGATAGAGAGGGGGAAGAGGACGCAGAGCAGTGTAGTGAAGGGGAGAAGTGAAGGCGACGAGGATGGGGTACACCCAGTCTGTTGTGGCGCTAGTCTCACTCACACTCCGCTGCACCGTGGGGGGCATGGTGTCTGGTGGGTAAGGGGCAGAGAGGGTGGCGAAACGGAAGCGGAAGCGGGAGAAGGAAAAGTGGGGGCTGACTGAGAGCAGCATGGTGGAAAGGAGGGAGAGAAGGCGAAGCGACGACGATGGGGTAGACCCAGTCCGTGGTGGCGCTGGTCTCACTCACACTCAGCTGCACCATTGGTGACGTGGTGTCTGTCTGGTGGGAAGGGGGCGCGAAGAGGAGGAGGTGAACAGAGGGGAAGAGGGTTGTGAAGGGAGGGGATAGCAGTGTGAGCGGAGGGCGGGGCGTGTGAGCTTACTGAAAAAGAGATGAAAAAGGGGTGTGTGAGTTGACAGGTGGAAGAACGAAAAGTGTGTCACGAAGATTGCAATGCGTGCGGAGTGTGGTGGGTGGAGGGGCAGGTGGGGTGAGTAGAGGGCTGTGTGGGATTACCAAAGAAGAAGAAAAATGGCTGTGAGGGCTGGCAGGTGTTGCCAGCAGCATCGGTGACATTCTCATGCCGTATGTCCACCACCACTGACCCCTCGCCTGTCGGCCACACCTGTCAGAGAAGGAGTGCAAGAGTAAGGATTGGTGGTTGATCGATTGAGGGTAGCACGGGAGAGCGTGCATGCATGCAGCATCAGCGGCATTCTCATGCCGTATATCCACCACCACTGACCCCCTTACCCGTTGGGCACACCTGCCATATCATATCATATCATATCACATGCCATCATCAGGAAAGGAGAGACACCTAAATCAAGACGCACCTGGAATTGGTTCGCTGATGGTGCAGCAGAGCAGAGCAGAGCAGAGAAGAGCAGAGCAGAGCAGCAGAGAAGAGCAGAGCAGAGCACAGCAGAGCAAAGCAGAGCAGAGCAGAGCAGAGCAGAGCACAGCAGAGCAAAGCAGAGCAGAGCACAGCAGAGCAAAGAAGAGCAAAGCAGAGCAAAGCAGAGCAAAGCAGAGCAGAGCACTTGGCAGGTCAGAGGTGACTGGCCGACCCGACCCTTCAAGCCTGGCCCTGGCGTTAGCCAGCTCACAGGAACCCACCTGAACCTCTACTCCCTTCCCTGGTCCATTCCAACTGAAACCTACCCACCTGGACCTGGAATGGTACTCCCAGTCGGAGACAGCTTGGGGGTCGCTGGTGGTGGCGTTGACGACAGCAACGGATGCGGAGGAGAATGCAGAGACTGGCTTGGAGAAGAGAAGAGCACCCGGCAGGTCACAGGCGACAGACTGACTGACTGACCCACAGTGAAGCCCAACCAACCCTAGATTCGGCAGTCTGCTTCGGAATCAAATCAGTTTTCAAACAAGTGCGGGGAGGGGGGAAGGGGATTCACCCACCTAAACCTGATACTCCCTATGCCGCTCGAAATGGAACCCACCTGGAACTGGTACTCCAGGTTGGACACAGCTTGAGGGTCGCTGGTGGTGGCGTTGACGACGGCGAGGGACGCGGAGGAGAAGGCAGAGACGGGCTTGGAGAAGAGCACCCGGCAGGTCACAGGCGACTGGGAGACGCGCGGCGTGGCTCTGAGCTGTGTGAAGAACTTGACCACTGCCAAGGGCGTGTCGCACGAGAGAGTGGCCTCCAAAGTGGTGCGATCTGGAAAGAGGGGTAGGGAACGGGGAGGGGGAGATAGGGGTTTGCGGAGCCCAAGAATTGACTCTGAGCTGTGTGAAGAACTTGATCACTGCCAAGGGTGCGTCACACGAGAGAGTGGCCTGCAGAGGGGCGCGGTCTGGAAAGAGGGGAGAGGGAGGGGAGTGTTTGGGTTGGAAGAGATAGGGTTGGGGGATGTACGGTTGGGTGGTTTGACAATGGCTTTGAAAAAGCGTGGTTAGAAAGGCATGTTGAGAGGCTTGCGAGGGTGGCACAGGCCTATTTTATTTATGCACACACAATCACACACTATCAAGAGGAGGCAATGGCCTGACATGTCGTAGGGAAATGGGCCATAAGGGTAAATACATGCGTTTTACACCATTCTCTTCACTGTTGAAAGCCACATGCACAGCAGGACAAGCTAAGCCAGTCAAGCACACATGCACACTTACCTATTCTGATGACGGCATAAGAGTCAAACCCCGCCGTCCACGCCCTCCCATTGGAGTCAGCACAGCTGCCTGGCCTTAAAGCCACAGTCACAGCGGCAGCACTAGCACTGATGCTGCTGCTGCTGCTGCTGCTGGCCATTGGTGGAGCTGTTAGCACCGCTGCTACTGCTGCTGGTGGTGGTGGCCGGTGGCAAAGTGGCAGTGAGGGAGTATCGGCTGCCGTCATCTGATGACAGGAACGAGGAGGGGTCGATGGCCACTATGCCCCGTGGTGACGCCTCCACCTGACCATGTGGAGGGGTAAGGAGAGGGAGAAAGGGTGGGTGGGGGAGAAAGGAGGGGGGTCGGGGGGAGAAAGGAGGGGGGTGGGGGGAGAAAAAAGGGGGGTGGGGGGAGAAAGAAGGGGGGTTAAAGAGGAGGGGTCGATTGTCACTTGGCCCAAACAAAACATCACAGTAAAACATCGTTTCCATGTTTGCATAGTGAGCAAGGTAATATAGAGAGAGAAGCAGTCACGTACGTCGCAAGCAGTGGCGTTGCACTGCAGGCCGGGGCAGGGCTTGTCGAAGGCAATGCTGATCTGTACCGACCCCTCCCTTGCCTGTGGCGGGTCCACTGTCAGTGTTGGCACTGGACTGGCCGCGTCTGACGGGGGGAGAAAGGGATAGGGTGCGAGGGGGGTAGAGGGAGAAAGGGCGGAATAGCACACTTGAGAGGCGTTGCCAGGGCAATGGCACGAAATCAGAGGCATTGCACTGCTGTGAGCCCTCCCTCCCTTGCTTGTGGTCGGCCCACTGTCAGCATCGGCACTGGATTGGCAGCGTCTGACGGGACGAGAAGGGCAGAGAAAGGCCGATGAACGCAGAGAAGGGAGGAGATGAGGACAGCAGATCGTTTCAGGGGGCAGGGGTGGATTTTGGAACGGATAAGCGGGAGGTGCAAACCTTTACTGCTGCTTTGAGACGTCTCAAAACACTTCTTTTATCACGTTGCTGCCATTACAGGCAGCATCTGTCCACCCATACGCACACTGCAATGCAACTGCCCATTCATATGTGGCCTGTGCTTGAGCCTCCACCTGAAACAAGTGAAAAATTGAGACGTCTCAAAAATTCACTTCTTTGACCTTCACGCGACACTTACCAACGGCCCATTCATACATGGCCTGTGCTTGAGCCTCCACCTGCGCCCCTGCCCCTCCTCCCCCATCCTCTCCGCCCATCCCAACAGCAGCAGCAGCGGCCTGCAGGCGGCTGCCAGTGACCCCTGGCGCGCCCTTGAGCGCAGTGACTGTGAAGCGGTGGGGACCGTCTGTGAGGCCACGCGCTGTGAACCACCCCCGGGGGCAGGGGAAGCTGGGAAGGGCGTCCACCTGCGAGAGTGGATGCGCGAAGAGGAGGGGGGACGGGGGAAGAAGAGGGGTTAAAAAAGGAAAGGGATGAACCTTGAGACGATCTCAGGGGAATGTGAAAGGGCCGTGAAAGTGCCGTCTGTGAGCCCGCGCGCTGTGAACCATCCCCGGACAGGGGAAGCTGGGGAGGGAGTCCAGCTGGGGGGATGGAGGGGGGAGGGGAGGGAGGGGTGGGGAGGCATGGGGAGTGAAGGGAGAGAGAACGGGGAATTAAGGGAGGGGGTAATGGGGAACAGCCGGGGTGAGGGCAGGAAATGACGCACCTTGCAGAGGAAGGTGCAGGCGTCACAGCGGGCGGGAGAGTGCACGCCTGTCGACTCCAGCGCCTTCCACGAGAAGCGCGCGCGCCCCACCTTCGCCACGCCCCTTGGCCCGCGCACAAACGACACCACCACTGCCGGGGCGGACGCTACAGCAGCTGCAGCCGCTACAGGCGCTACATGCGCACCAGGCGCAACAGGCGCTAGAGGCGCTACAGGCGCTATAGGCGCTAGAGGCGCTACAGGCGCAAGAGGCGCTACAGGCGCTAGAGGCGCTGCAGAGGCTCCCTCTCTGGCAGCCAACCCACTGTCGCTCCCAGCGTGCCCTTCCGCGACCTTTGCAGAGGAAGCGAACAAACGCGATTGCAGTGCAACAAGTCCCGCGCCACCACCACCGCCAACACTACCAGCAGATGCAGCCGAACCAGCAGATGCAGCCGAACCAGCAGTTGTAGCGGAACCGACAGCTGTAGCGGAACCGACAGCTGTAGCGGCGCCAGAGGGAGCCGGATCCTGCAGCGGCTGGCCTGGCTGCGGCTGCTTCAGCGCGACTGGCACGAGCACGGCCGTGAGGCGAACCGCTGCCTGTAACACCTGGCAGGGTAACTGCTGGAAGCCCCCGCAGAGGCGACACGGCTGTGCGACCGCCGCGGACGCTGTCACTGTAACGGTCAGCGTCGCGTTGACGATAGGGTTACCAGCAGTGCTGCTGTTACTGTTCGCTGGGTTGCGACTGTTCACAGGCAGAGCCCAAGACACGTCCCCCATATAGCACGCGAACGGGCGGGTGCCGCCGCACCGACCCACGGGCCTGCACGGCCCTGCTGTGAGCATCTCGCGGCCATTAACGCGTATGGACTGTACCGTCTGGTCGGGCCAGTCGAAATCGGTTGGAACTACGCCTACAGCGAGAACATACGTGAGTCGCCACTCCGTGCTGTTGTAATTGTAACTTTCGCTGCTGTTCGCATCAGCATGCGACGGTAACAGCCCTGTGGAAACTGACACGGTGCAGTTCGGTCCAGCTCCCCCTCCTGCCCCAGTGTTCTGAGCCCCTCCCGCGCCAGTCCCCGCGCCAGCTCCCCCCGCGCCGGCTCCCCCCGCGCCGGTCCCCCCCGCGCCGGTGCCCCCTGGGAGCGGCCCCATGACGGGGTCGTCCTCGCGGCGGTCGGGCGGAACGAGCGGGGAGGCGCAGAAGGTGTCGACGAATGAGAGCACGCGGTAGGTTGAGGGGAGGACTTGCGCGCGCGCGGGGGAGAGGGGGAAGAGGAGGAGGAAGAGGAAGGAGAAGAGGAGCGGGAGGCAGAGAGGAAGGCGGGCGACGAGCGGAACGCGGGCGGAGGGGGAAGAGGAGTTAGCGGCGGAACGGAGACGACGAGCAGTCACGATGTTAGCGGAAGCACGAACAGATCTACACGAAACCCTAATCGCACCCATATTCTTCATATCCCAACCGCCCTTCCCTGCGCCTTCCCGTGCAATCTCCCCCGATTCGCTGCTACCGTTGTCGCGTAGTGTACAGTCGCTACTCGACTTCCCGCAAACGCCAAAGCTGCCCGCCCAGCAGCCCGAGCCCCTGGCTTTACTATGCCTACTGCGCCTACTTTCCCCGCGTGACTGCCCGTTCCCACACCAGCCACGGCAGCTAGGCATTTTTCCGCTACCCCATGAATCGAGATCGCTGCTGCTGCTGATGCTGCTGCTGCCGTTCCTGCTGCTGCCACTCCTGCTGCAGCCTTTCCTGCTGCTGCCGCTGCCGCTACTGCCATCATCAGTCAAACCATCGCCACGAACCATCTCGCGTGCGTTCACAACGTCGCAAGCTTTGCTACGGCAGCCGCTACCAACGCCATCGGAAGAGTCATGCCAGGAGGAGACGCAAGTAGCGCCGTCGACAACTCCGTTAACGCCAAGCCGCACCCTCTCTAGGTCTACCGTGTCGGCGCGTTTTACGGAGAATGCATCTTCGCATCTAGCGCCGTAAAAAACGGCGCATCTCGCGGCGTCGGAAAGAGGAGCTTTAACCGAGTTTGCTGCTGCGTCCCACTGAAAGGCTCCCACTGACTGCTCCGCGCTTGCTGAAGGGAAGTAGCAATAACGAAACGGGTTCGCCCTACCCTCGCTATGAGAAACGGCTTCAGACTTCCTCGTGACTCTCCCAGCTTCGTGGTTACTGCTGCTGTGCTCTTCCCTTTCCCAGTATTCCCTCTCCCAGCCTTTCCAACTTTTGCCATTCCGCTCCCCCAGTCCATCTTGACATGTGCAATAAATACGGCCGCACTCCCCGTCTCTGCTGGCTGCTGCATCGTCACCGTACAATACGGATTGTTGCATCGCATCGTCACCGTTCAATGAGGAATGTTGCGTCGCATCGTCCCACCTACCAATGCGAGCAGCCGCTTCCAAAGCGGTAGCTCCCTGACCCGCTAACATACCTACCAGCCTAACGGACAGGCATAAGTCACAAAAGGTCGGGAACAATTACTGTTCAGAAACCTAAATCTGGTCTTGGCAAACTACGATACAGTTTCCGATGCGGACAGAAGTAGTCTACGAAGGCACAAAGGAGCATCTGCATCGCGGCTGCGCATTACCTCGAGACAAAAGCTACTAGAAACCGCGTGAGTCAGCATTTCAAGGCTGACGCGTCACGGCATCACCGAACTTCAAGCAGACTCTCTTGGTGGAACAAGGTTGGATTGGCTTGGCTCGGCTTGGGTTTTGTAGGACGCGTTTGCTGCAGCCATTTCCTGAGCAGCTACTTCCATCCCTCCCCTACTGCCCCTCCCACCCCCAGCCCCACCACCAGCCAGCATTCGCGCAGTAACATCCTGAGGGTGCGTCAATGTTTGGTTGCTGCTCGCTACCTTAGCAACCACTCTGTAATCCACGCAAAATACACGTTTGGACCACATGAAAAAGTACCTGGACCGTACCAAGATTAATCTTCCCACATGCCCTCACCCAACCACACCCCCTTCCACTCTCGAATCCCCTTCCCCCCCACCCCACTGGCCTCCGTGACAAATTCGGTGGCTCTCTACACAACCAGCTTTTTAGCTTCGAGAATGCCGGAGGTGTGAGCCTGGCAGGCTCGGTGCCGCTTTGACCCAAATGAAGTTTGGTTCGGCACGTTCAGCCAATTGTGTATTTTGTCTTGCCACATTGCATGCGACTGATTCCATACTCGAATGCTTCTGCAACCGGAGACCTCCAGATGGGGCCATGACGAGCCGCTATCGAACCAATGGCCAACCCCGAACCTGACTCTTCCAAACACCACCAACCAACATTGACGGCGGCCGTTGACAGCAAGCAGAAGGGTCGTCGCAAACTTGGAGGGTTGACGGTTTACTGCTGTCGTCCGTCAATAGCACACTCTGTGGTGCTTGACGACACCGCATACAGTTCGCTAGGTACTTCGTCCGACGCAAAACGAAAGTCGTTCTCGACGGTTGAATCACCGACTTGGCTTTGACGCGGCACGGACTTGTCGAACGTGAATGGGGCGGGAGTACCCAGCCTGACGGTATTTAGGTGACCGTTCAGGTTCGTGTACAGAACAGAAAGTGTCAAATATTGGCGCAAAATAGACGGAAGTCGTTGCGACTCGAGATCCCGTCAGCGTATTTCGGATGGATTGTTGTAGTACTTTTTGGGAAAATATGTCAATGGTAACTTATATGTGGCAGTATAACGCGTACGGTAACTATTACATTGAATTTTAATGAGTTTGGTAACTCGTTTCACGCGTTTGGTAACTATACACTGCCAAGCGATAACGCGAATGGTAACTAGAAGTAACCATCACCCGAAATGACCTCGTTTAGAAATTTTCGCGCCCGCGCATCCTGATGCATCGCGTTCTGCCTACCACGCACATATTCCCGAACCAAGATAATTAGCACAAATGTACGGTTCGATTAACTACTTTAAAACAGTAAACACGTTTCGACACGCACGATTGGACCTTAATGTTTGGTTCTTTTGGTTGTGTCCTTGGGGCAAAAATATAGAACTCTTTCGAATGGCATGCGATTCTGAAAGAATCGACCCTAAACACCTTGCGACAAGGCTAAAACAGGTGGCAAAAAAACTCAAAGATATTTGTGATACTGAACGTCTAAATTTTAAAAACTTGCCCATATTGGAAACGCCTTGTCGCAAGGTGTTTATGGTTGATGTTCTCAGAATCGCTTGCCATGTGAAAGTGGTTTATTATTTTTGCCCCGGCTGTGCGGTAGAATTGGAAACAAACAATGTCCAAAATAAGCGCTGAAAAAATCATTTGTTTTAAAACAAACGTTTTTTACTGCTACTCGTGCGTCAATCTCTTGATTTTAGAAAGTGTGTCAGAAATTGGTAGGTCAGGATTCGTCGATTCAGTCTGGCGCAAGCGGGAAAAACCATAATCAGGGTCATTCTGAGTAAGCGTTTCTTCTAGTTACCATTTGCGTGATTCCTTGGCAGTGGATAGTTACCAAACGCGTGAAACGAGTTACCAAACGCGTTAAAATTCAATGTAATAGTTACCGTACGCGTTATAGTGCCCCATGTAAGTTACCATTGACATATTTTCCCGTACTTTTTTACCAACCATATAAAATGGTCTATAAGACGCTATTACGAGTGCAATTGAGCGAGCGAGCGAGAATTGTAGTATCGAAGCAAAACAGTACATTGAGCGAAGGCATGAGCGAGAGCTATATAGCGAAGGCCACAGTGCTAACGGTAACGAACTGTGGGAAGTGCGAGACGGGCCTATGACTGAGGTTGGTGTTACGAATAGTAAAATACGATTGTGCACTCCTAACCGCAGCAAAGCGAAGCACACAGTACCAAAACAGGAACACGAAGAGTCAGAGTTGACTCGAAGCGCCGCAGACAGTTGAGATTGATTTGGACAGTTGGAAGCGGACAGCATCGGGCTGCTCCAGGAGCAAAGGAATTGGCGGGAACAGTTTTGAAACTGTTCGAGTCGCGCGATTGGGTTTGAATTCGAATAAGGGAATGTACCCCTTGTTAGAATCTAGAACCAGGAATGAATGAACTAGCAGCATGCAGGAGTACAAGTAGTAAACCCTTATTGGGTTGTACCCCATATGGGCTACCCCACTACAGCCTACACAATATGCAGCATATATAATTTGACACACCCCCATAGGCAAAGTGGGGGAGAGCAAGGGGTCACAAGACCAGTCAAGAAAAGCAAAGCAAGTATGCAGATATATCTATATATATGTAGATCACAGTACAAGCAGAGTCTACAACAAGTGTGGAAACGTAGGCACAAGGCCCAACAAAGTACAAAAGCGCTGATGGTCACCAGACGGAAGTGCCTTGGTGAATATATCAGCAGTGTTGGCCTGAGTGGCCTCAGAATGTTATTATTGTCTAGCCTGTAGTGGGGTGCTCTATAGCGAGTACAACCCAGTTAGGGTTTGCTATACGTACCCCAACTGCTGCTAGTGAACCCCTCCTCTCCTTTCAATCATTCTTGCCTAGTTACTTTGAAATGCTATCAGAGCAGGTCGTGTCAGAATCCCAGTCACTAACCACTGGGATAAAAGGGCTTGTTTGTGTAGCGGGTGAGTGCGCCCATAACCCCCCAGGCCAACGTGCCTGTAACCCTTCCCTAGGATCAATCGGGGATCACCAGTGGACCTCTGACACCCCCTCGCACTGGGATGCCCGAGGTGCACACACCGGGATTCGAACCCGAGACCTTCGCTCTGATACCATGTCAGAATCCCAGTCACTAACCACTGGGATAAAAGGGCTTGTTTGTGTAGCGGGTGAGTGCGCCCATAACCCCCCAGGCCAACGTGCCTGTAACCCTTCCCTAGGATCAATCGGGGATCACCAGTGGACCTCTGACAGGTCGACCCTCCTGGGTCGATCCTGTGGGTGGGCCCACCACCTAATGCTTCCGCTGCTTTACTTCCTGCCGGGCGCCTCGGGCGCGCGACGACTTCTTCCTGCCGCGCGCGGAGCGCGCGGCGAATTTTTTCTAGGGTTTCGGCGGTTTTCATCCCGCCGTGCGCTCGGGGCGCGCGGCGGTTTTCTGCACGCCGTGCGCCCCGAGGCGCGCGGCGGTTTCCCACCGTCGAAGTGCCCCCCGTCGCCCGTCGAAGCGCCCTCCCCCCGTCGCCCGTCGAAGCGCCCCCGTCGCCCGTCGGAGCGCCCCCCGTCGCCCGCCAAAACGCCCCCGTCGCCCGTCGAAGCGCCCCTGGGACCCGCGCGCGGCCCGTACGGGCTGCGCCAGGCCCGCGCGCGGCCCGTACGGGCTGCGCCAGGCCCGCGCGCGGCCCGTACAGCCCGCGCGCGGCCCGTACGGGCGGCGCCAGGCCCGCGCGCGGCCCGTACGGGCTGCGCCAGGCCAGCGCGCGGCGCGGGCAGCCTGCGCGCGCCTCGTCCGTCCCCCTCTCGCCGTCCCCCGCGCTCCTGCCCCTATCCCACCCGTTTTAGGGTTTGGGGATGTGGAGTGTGGGGGTGGCGGGTGTGGGGGTGCCGGTTGTGTGCCCCGTCCCCTCCTTCTCCTCCTCCTCCGTCTCCCACTGCTGCAGCTGCCGCTGAGGGGGGTGGGTGTGTGGGAGCCGAGGGTTTAGGGTTTAAGGGGGGTGCCGTGGAAGTGGAGCTAGGGTGTCAGCAGGGGGTGTGTGAGAGGGGCGTGGGACGGTCGGGGGAGGTTGCGTGGAGGTAGCCGTCGTGACGCCAGCAGCGCCAGTAGTCCGGATGCCCTCGCGCGTTTCGGTAGCCCAGCGAGCCTGCTTCGCCAGTCGCCTGTGGGTCCGTTGCTCCTGTGTGTGCTCGTCGTAGCCGCGGAGCCAGATACTCCCGTAGTCCGGTGCCCTCGTGCGCTCGGTAGCCACTGTGCGCGCCGCTCCTGTTGCCCGTGTGTCTGCAGCTTCAGTCGGCGCCTTTCATCTTCTCGCCCTCACAGTTTCTCCTCCTCCTCACTTGCCCTCTATGATCACCTCTAGCTTTGCTTATAATTGTGAACTATTGCTATGCCTGCTCATTGTACTGATTACACCCCACTTTGGCTATGGGGGTGTGTCAGAATGTTATTATTGTCTAGCCTGTAGTGGGGTGCTCTATAGCGAGTACAACCCAGTTAGGGTTTGCTATATGTACCCCAACTGCTGCTAGTGAAACCCTCTCTCTCCTTTCAATCATTCTTGCCTAGTCTTGTTGACACTGAGTGGCCACGTGTGCAAGACGAAGCTGACCACACTGCTGCAACTCTCGAGCCAGGAAGTAACGGAGAGCGATGTGCTTCGTTCTGTGCTCCAGTTTGTGCTCCTCACACAAGGCAATGGCAGCCTTGTTGT